CCCCAAAACCCCAAAACCCCAAAACCCCAAAACCCCAAAACCCCAAATGATAAAATATATGTTGATAAGATAATAATATTTTAATTAAACTGAATGTCTGACAATAGCCTGTGTGACTCTGATGAATCATCATTCGACCCAATGAAATCTAGGGTTAAGGAGTTTGTCTATTACCGGAAGCAAAAAGAAATCAAAGCCAAAGAAGAAGCAGAGGGTAAGAAAAGATCTACGCCCATGAATTATTCTAATGGAAAGACAAAGACTCAGAAATTTAAGAATACTCCAGCTGCCTATCCTGAAGGAATGGGAGATGGTACGTTATTGAAAAAATACTTCTTCTTTCTCCCTTAACTTGTACTAACAATTCTAAAGATTTCTGCACTGAGCAAGGGCAGAAGAAAATTAAAGGTAAATGATTAAGGGTTGCAGCTACTTGTTGACTCAATCTATATTAATATTACTCGGATTTGTGCTATAGAATCCCTTTTAGGAACTCTTAAAACATGAAAGCCTTGATATTATAATTTCTAACTAACTTTCTTAAATTATTATTACTGATATCATCTCTTGATTATGAACAAAATAACTGTATATAGGAATGGGAATGGGGGATAAATACATAGACAATGTTTTCAGAAGTAAATAAAATGCAACATATGACACGAGAAGAGAGGAAAGAAGCATATAGACTTGTAGAGGAAGATTTTATCCAAAATGAAGACAAATTTAGAAACATCAAAGAATATGAGCCAGGAAAAGGGATAAACCTTCCCCTCTCATCACATGGCTGAAACCGTAAGGATATGCAATGAAGAAAGGCAGATGTAGGAAATCCGATGAAGATTAAGCATTAATTTTGCTGATTCCTCAAAATTATATTACTAATTATTCAGAATGATCATCTTTATTTCAAGCTGAAATTTCGATATTGATGATTTATTATCTCCTCTTCATCAGGATATGAAGTTTTTTATGATTCATTCTTAGGCAAATTAATCAGTATGTATTTCTATGAGCCATATTGCTCTAAAAACATTGTCACTGGTATTTTCATTGATTTTTATTAATTCCTAAATCTAAACTTAATTTCCCAATGTTGAGCCTTTAAAGAAAATTTCCAGTGTGGGTCAACCTTCCTTTATTTAAATACAATTTTAGTTTGAATTGAAATAATTCTGGAAAACTCTTAAATGTCTTGGCTTAAATTCAATCCTACCACCAGTAGTTGGGGTTTTGGGGTTTTGGGGTTTTGGGGTTTTGGGGTTTTGGGGTTTTGGGG